TGGTGGCCTAGAGAAGTCAACTTGCGAAAGTTAGGCCACCATGTTAAATTGACCTGAAAAACAAACGGGGTGAACATCAGATCATTTCTAAGGCGAAAAAAGATGTGGCCTAAAAAATTCATTTTGGGAAAGTTAGGCCACCAAGCCAGATGGCCTATAAATTCTGCATGGGTAAGTTCGGTCATCACGTCGTAGGAAAAAATGGGAACAATACGGTTTTTTACAAGTAATTCCGGCGGTTAATAGAAATTTTTGTCGACAATTTGTCGATAAATGTTGTTTTTATCGACAATTTGTCGGTAATTATTCGATAAATTTACCGGTAAATTTATCGATAAATTTGTCGAAAAGGGCGTTTGTCGACAAATCATTTGTCGATAAGGCACACTGGGTGTCAATAATTAAAAGCCACCCTGTATTTTTTTGCAGGAATTCAGAACTTTCCAAATCTTGGAAAAACTGATAGTTCCAGATATTCAGATCATTTGTGAAATTGGAAATTTCAGAATCACCAAGAAATTTTTAAAAAATTCAAAGAAATATTTTTCTTTCTAAAGTTTCCCCGAAATTAGGAAAAAAATATTGTTATTCTCCCTCATTTTCAAAAACTCATAAAATTGAAATAAAAAAACATTTTCTGGATGAATCATCCCTATTTTATCTTATCACTCCTTCCCATCATTTCCGTTCAAAAATGGTTTATCCTATGTTTATCTTTTTTTTGTTTGATAAAAAATGAGATCAAAAACAAAATATGATTTAGGTCAAGTTTATCATTTTTTTTATGGATAATAATAAAAATATTTTGATCCCAAAAAAAAACAAATTGGGTGTGGAAAATTATTTAAAATGACGTCATGAAGAATCGAAAATCACAAAAGTTACTCACTTTTTGTTTACTCACTGTCCCAGTTAGAAAACCGTAAAAAGTCAACATTTTGATCTGAAAAATAAATTTTTTTGAAAATCAATTTTTTGGACAAACAGACACACCGATTTTGTAAGATTCTGAGATTCTGAGATTCTGGAATTTTGGAAATCTGGAAATTCTGAAATTCTGAAACTCTGAAATTCTGACATTCTGAGATTCTAAAATTCTGAGTTTTTGAGATTCTGTGAAATTCTGAAATCCTGAGATACTGAGATTCTGTGAAATTCTGAAATTTTGGGATTCTGAAATTTTGAAATTCTGAAGTTCTGAAACTCTGAAATTCTGAGATTCTAAAATTCTGAGATTCGGAGATTCTGAGATTCTGAGATCCTGAGATTCTGAGTTTCTGAGATTCTGAAATTATGAAATTTCGAAAATTTTCAGATTCTGGAATTTCGAGGTTCTGAGATTTCGAGAAAAATCCGATTTTTCTGGAATCTGATACTCAGATTTTCAAAATAAACTTCGGAAATTTCGTAACTGTCTTTCTTTTTCATAATTTTAACAATTTTTCAATTAAAAAATATATTGAAAATTTTATATATTCGTTGTTAATTTTCAATTTCAAGAAAATCTATAAAATATGTACAGAGTAAGGAAAAAAGAAATTAAAGCAAGAAACAATAAAAGCGGACAGGATGAAAAGCTTTGAATTATAAAGGAATGATGTACCCATGGATTCAGGAGGAAAAAATGCGAAAAAATACGGGGAAAAAAGTACAAGTGTGGTGATTTTTGGAATTCTTTGAAAAATTCCAACAGGAAAGAACAATCGGGATTTGATTTTTGGATTATGCCAAAAAAGAAGAAAAAATACTAGTTGGGGGCGATGTACACGAAAATTGTACCTACACGAAAAAAGGGATTCATAGGAGAAAATAAATTTAGCTCCAATATTTTCAAGAAGCTTAGGCCCGAATTTTGGCCATTCTTACGTGCTGCTCAAGTTGGAACAGATGATCGTCTTCGTCGTCTGGGAACAATTTTCGCAGATTTTCAGCCAGATTCAAGACGTATCTGAAAATTTGAAACATTTGTTTTTTGAATTTTTCAGTTGAAAATATGGAAAATAATCAACGTTGAAATCCCAATTTTCAGCCGAATTAAAGAGTTCTGGACTACTCTTGTAAGACTTCAAACTTGACAACTATCTTCAACCAGTTAGAGACGCAGAGAAGTTAGAGGGTCTGCTTCTCTGCGTCTCCTTTCAAAAAGCATTCAACTCACTCGCAATTCGGTCCTGCGCATCCTTTAGCCGTCACGATTTCACGTGCCATTTTGATCAGATCATCTGGTCCCAGATAGAGCTCGTTCTGTTCATCGGCAACGCAAGTCAACGCCATAACGACCGTCGGACGGTGACGATGAAGGGATGAGGACTCGATTTGGACAGGTACCATACGGAATGCGTAGCCATTGTCGATCTGGAAAATTTGTAAATAAGGTTTGGGGATTTATAGATTTTTGGATCCTAAAAAGTTTTTAGACCCACTGGTTTCCAAATTTCATGAATCCAAAGTACAACTTTTCCGTCATATGACAAGCGCAAATCAAAAAGACAGCTGCTCATCCTTTGACGACATAAAAAATCATCGAAAAAAACCAACCTCTCGCTGCTCGAGATACTTGACAGCAGTAGCGATGGCTGATTTTCCGTCAACCCGGAACACCATTCCGTTTGTGAACGAGTTGGATTCTTCGATGAGTGTTGCGACGCGTCCTGGCTGCAAGATTTGGGAAAATTAATTCAGGAAAATTAGAGATTTTATTTCTCCAAGTTTTCCCCTCTAGAACAAGCTAAAAATCACTCCAAACGAACCATTTTGAGCTGAGATGCAGGCATTTGAAGTTTGGTGGTGAGAGACGCAGACACTCTCGTTTCTCTGCGCTCTCGCCAAAGTTCAAAGCCACATAACTCGCTTCAAAGTTAAGCTAGAGAACTAATTACGGCTAGTTTTGTAGGGAATTTCAAGAGGGACATCTTGACGACACTTTTGGTCTGTAATTTCCAAAAAAAAATGTCTGCTCATCCAAGTCAAATTACATACATTTTTGTTCAAAATTGGATATTTCAATTGGTTGGAATTTTACAAAAAAATTGTCAACTAAAAAATGAAGCTATATTTTTGTTTTATATTCTCTGGAATTTTCAGAAAATTCTGGAAACGTTGAACTACTATTATCGACATGCGTTTAAAATTTTCGGGCATTTTTTCATTTTTTAAAATTTGAAGGCCTCTCTTCAAATTTGACGGTATTTAGTTAATTTTGCCTAGAATTTTTGGGCTCAAAAATCCAATTTTCCTCTAGTGCCACTTTCATTTTTCCTCTCTTCCGAAAAACCCGGCATTATACTGTGACCCCATCATCCATCTCTTTTTCCGAGAACAACAGAAAAAGCTAAAAAGAGAGTCACATGCTTTTCGCATGTGCTTTATACTACTCCCCCTTCTTCCTCCTGGAACTAAAAAAGAGAAAGAGAGTGAGAGAGAGAAAGAGAAAAAGAGAAGTACACAACTATACGAAAAAACGACTGACCACCCAGGAGCAAAACTCACCAATTTCACATCACCACGATGGTACGTGTTTCCCTGATACATTCGACGTGCCCATCCGATAGCGTACGCTTTTCGTGACGTCGAAAATTGGAATCCGGGATTCCAGATGAGTGATCCGTAGCCGAAAATCCAGAGGGATTGATTGGAAGAGAACATTGATTCCATTTTTGTAGTAGTAGTTGACCACGGGGGTGGGGGTGGGGGTTTCTGGAAAACAGCAATGTTACTTGAGGAGGAACGGAAAGATGGACTTGGGGGAAGACCCTCGACTTTTAAAGAGAAAAAAGAGAACAAACAAAGAAAGCCTGTCTCTCTTAGAAGATTAGACAAAGATCACATGACTAATCTAGACAGATACTTTCAGAGATAGAGATAAACACACGTCATTGGTAAAAAAAATCAAAGGATCAAAAAATATAAAAGTTCCAAATATATAGAGAACAACACATATGGTTTGTCCTCCTATATATACATAAACGTCCGAATGGAAAAATGGGCGGAGCTTCAGAATAGGTGATAGCGATGAACGCGGCATTGCATCAGACACTTTCTCCCTCTCTCTTGAAGACGACACATGGGAAAATAAGAAGAGAAAGGAGTGAGAGTGTGTGCGAGATGGAGAGACGCAGGCAATCGAGGAGGAGAAAGAAACACATGGACTTCGTCTGGGGGCGGGAAAGGATGGGGATGCCCTGCACTGCAGAGAAGGACTAAAAATTGAGGAGGATGTCATTGCACTAGTGAGAAGAACAGACTAGACTGGGTGGCGTTCTCAACAACTTTGGGTTTTCAAAAAAGTACCAAAAAGGAGTAGAAAGAAGTCAGAAAAATTCGAGTTGCTAACTTGGACCGCAATTAAATTGGTTACTGTAAGAGATATCAAAAAGTCGTCAACTAATAAAATATTTACACGTTTATGGCAAACATTCTATTAGTTGCCCACTGTCTAGTATCTCTGACAGGAACTGAATTAATATCGATTACGAACACCGCCTGCTGGCCTGCGCCCTCTATGGAGCATCATGATTTCTTTGACCTTAATTATCTTGGTTTCTATGAGAGATATCAAAAAGTAAACAATTAACAAGATGTTTTTCATAAAATTTTACCCATTTTACTTGTTGATCATTTTCTGATATATTTTATATAGGAGCCTAGATAGCCAGGCTCCAGATTTGGGTTCTTAAAAATCCATGTGCTTTTGTATTTCTTTTGCTGAAAGCAGTGGAAAAATACCCCTAGCACCTTTGACAACAAGTTAGGCGCATAAACTGAAAATGAACAATATAAAGGGAAAAAACTAGGCCAAATCTAACAAGGCGTGGATAAGCCTAACACTACGTAAGCTTAGGAATTGTGAAATTTCAAAAAAAAGATACCCGAAGAAATTCTGGAACTCTAATTTTAGAATTTTCTAGGTGTTTACTCATCTTTGGATCCTAGAGTTCCACGAAAACAATGCAAAAAACTGAAACTAAATAACTTCTAGACAAATAAAGTTGTCTGGAGTTTTCCGGAATTCTGTTGATGTTGTTAGTCACGTGATTCCAAAAAAGAGAATGTAGCTGAAAGCGAAAGCAAATTTTTAATCAAATCTCCTAGAATTTTCTAGAAAGGGATATAATTTTCAAAAAAAGAGAGTGATTGAATTATTCAATCAACATCCATGAGTCATTTTTAGATTTTTAACCGTTCAAGAATTCAAGAATCTGAGAATCTCAGAATTTCAGAATCTCAGAATCTCAGAATCTCAGAATCTAAAAATCTCAGAATCTCAGAATCTAAAAATCCCAGAATCTCGGAATCTCGGAATCTCAGAATCTCAGAATCTCAGAATTTAAGAATATCAGAATCTCAGAATCACAGAATCTAAAAATCTCAGAATTTCAGAATCTCAGAATCTAAAAATCTCAGGATTTCAGAATCTCAGAATCTCAGAATCTCGGAATCTCAGAATCTCAGAATCTCAGCATTTAAGAATATCAGAATCTCAGAATCACAGAATCACAGAATCTAAAAATCTCAGAATTTCAGAATCTCAGAATCTAAAAATCTCAGGATTTCAGAATCTCAGAGTCTAAAAATCTCAGAATTTCAGAAACTCAGAATCTAAAAATCTCAGGATTTCAGAATCTCAGAGTCTCAGAATCTCAGAATCTCAGAATCTCAGAATCTAAGAATATAAGAATCTAAGAATCTAAGAATCTAAGGATCTAAGAATCTAAGAATCTAAGAATCTAAGAATCTAAGAATCTAAGAATCTAAGAATCTAAGAATCTAAGAATCTAAGAATCTAAGAATCTAAGAATCTAAGAATCTAAGAATCTAAGAATCTAAGAAACTAAGAATCTAAGAATCTAAAGATCTAAGAATCTAAGAATCTAAGAATCTAAGAATCTAAGAATCTAAGAATCTAAGAATCTAAGAATCTAAGAAACTAAGAATCTAAGAATCTAAAGATCTAAGAATCTAAAAATCCACGAATTCGCCAACTTCCGTATCTCAAAATTCTAAATTTTCCATCCAAAAAAAAAGTTCAAGAAGTCGAAAAAGGAAACTCCCGTTTTTATGATCCATAAAACCACACCACGAGGCCACAAGAACCATTTTTGCAGAGAAAAGTTTAATAATTCGCGCCGAAGGTACGCCAGCTCTCGAAAAAATAATATATTTTAAAAAAAATAATATATAAAAAAAGTACAAAACCGTGTTTTTTTTTCGAATTTTCCATTTTTTTACCACCTAGTTTTGATCTACCTGTTGAAAAATTTGGGTCAAATTTTCTCCCTTTTCAAACAGAGACTTCTAAATTTGATTGTTGAGGTCTTTGGATCAAAATAGAAAAAAAAACTTTTATTTTTTTATCTCTATCTCTTTTCTTTGTTTCCGCGAAACCAAAAAAGACGTAATTGATAAGGGTGTCAAGTGTCAATAAGTATCAGCTGCCAATTAAAAAGTGGCAGTTTAGAATTTCAGCAACGAAAAAAGTTGTATAGATAAGAAAATTTGTTTCGGGAAGCGGAAAATGGAAATGTTACAGTGGCTGAGGGGACAATCTGGAAAATCAAAAAATCGGAAATTTCTGAGTCATTTTATTCTTTCCCCGAACAAGCCACGTTTTTGATCTGTAGGTCAAATTTGTATGATATCATAACTGGAAAATGACGTCTTCTGGATTCTATGAGATTCTGTACGTCAATAAACCAATGGATTTTTGTAGTTTTTTGACGTAGAGATTGAAAATAAACCCCCCCCCCTTTACCTAGCTTTCTATTTTGAGCCAATTTATCTCGGTTCCTGTGAAAGATATCAAATATTTAATAACCAATAAAATGTAAAGGATATTATGATAAGTTTTTTGTTAGTTGACAATTTTATGACATCTTTCACAGAAAATTAGATAAATTGGCTCAAACTTGAAAGAGTGTGAGCTTCAACTTTGATCAATTTTTTCTTGGTCGCTGTAAAAGATATTAAAAATAGTTAACGACAAAAATGTTTTTCTTAATATCAGACACATTTCATTAGTTTAAAATGTTTTAATATCTCAAACAGGATATGAGATAATTAGAACAATTCTTTCAGGGAGTTTTCCAGGTTTCAATAGAAAAAATTGAGTGTTATTTCAACGTGACAAAAAACGTGGAAAAATGAAAATTCTCCACCAAAAATAGCGACGTAAAAACCCCACGACCCTCGATGGCCTCAGCAAGAACAATATAAATGAAGAAGGAAGTGGCGGGAAGAAACAGTTCTCTCCTTCTCTGAAATGCTGGTGGAGGATCTAGAAACCGCGTTCTGAAGAAATCTGCTGTGAAATTAGAGCTAATTTTTTTCAACCGAAGTGATTGATCTTACCATTTCTTTTTGAACTCATCATTATTATAATAAAATTTTGTTGAAAAGCTTGGAAGTAGAACATAGAGGACACTTTCCGGACATGATACCTTTCAGAACGAGTAATCAAAAACTGAGGTCTGAGGCAACTCGAAAAAAAGCAATTCTTTTCAAATTTAGTTATCTTGGCTACCAATAAAAATACAACAAAATTGTTAACCAAGAAAATGTTTTTCATAAAATTTTACACATTTTAATAGTTGAAAAAAATCTTTTTAAAAACCAACAAAAAACTTCCACCTGCCCACACCGAACACCTGCACCTGTGCAACAACAACAAGAAATCCTACGTGCAAAATTTGAAAAATTAAGCAACGAGTAAAGTAAATCTCAAGTTTCTGAAGTCATCGGCAGCTGGTGATGAGCTAGTGCAAAAAAAAATACACAATAAACATGAGAGAACGAGCAAAAAATGCTGAAAATTTTGGCTGAATTCTCTTCTCGAAAAAATTGAAAAAAAAATGTTTGAAATTCTTCTCAAAACACTTTTTTGATCCATCCGAGCCAATTTTCAGCCATTTTTGCCCAAAATCCTATATCTCATTTGTCTCAAATTTTACAAAAAAGTTGTTAACTACAAAAATGAAGCTCTATTTTTGTTTGGTACACTTTGAACATTTGAAAAAAATCTGAAAACTGTGACCTAGTTTTTCAGGGCTTTCAAAGTTGACCACCATTTTCAATTGATCAGGACAAGAGACGCGGAGAATCTAGAGTGTCTGCTTCTCTGCGTCTCCTTGAAAAACCACTTGTTTTTGTATTTTTTATTGTATCGCTCAGTTTTAATTTCCGCGTTCTTTTTTTCTAAAATTCCAAAATTCGAGAGCTATTTATTGCCTAGAATCTTGGCTATAGGCCAAAGTTCCAACACATTTTTTGGAAGTCATAAAACCAAAAAAAAACGCCTGACACAAAAATTCCTCAACTTTACATCAGCCTCTATTAATTTCCCATTATTTTTCTCTGCGTCTCTCTGGATACCACACTCTCTCACTCTCTCAAAATTTTTTTTGCAAAAGAGTCCTACTGTAGTTTAGTTTTTTTTTTACTTTGATTGCTTTTTTTTCAGAGGCTGATGCAATTTTCTGAAGAAGACCAGTCAGAATTTTTTTTTCTTCTTTTTGCTCATTTTTCAATTTTTATTTGGGTAGGTGGGATTTGAAAAACGTACAAATAGAACACTATTTGTTTATATTTGTTTAATGTCAACAAATGAAAAAAAAATCAGAAAAAAAGACAATGGGAATTATTGGGAATTACTATTTTTAAACCGATTTTGTATGATGACTAGGGACAAAAAAGTTAAATTTGGACGCTTTTTCAAAATAAAAATGGTAGGGATGGCCCAGGCTGTGCAAAACGCGGCCGCGGCCGAAGCCATGGGTACTTTGCCCTAAACCAATCCGACCGTTCTTTCGAAAATAAGCTCAGCTACCCAGGTACTACTAGGGCCGCTAAGCCACCGTACCCTACCTATCTCAGAAGTATCCTTTTCAAAATGCCGCGGCCGGCCGTGGCACAGCCTTGGGGATAGCATTGAAAATTAGAATTAGGGGATTCTAGGCCATGAAAAAGGGAACCAACCTTGACGATCCGTAGACGAGGAGCATGAGCGATGTTTCGGAGAATTTTTGACTTGGTTGGCATATTTTTTCTTAGCTGGAAATTTGGAAATTTGAGTTTAGGGAAAAAAATTGGAAGAGAAAAGGAATAAAAAGAATTTGAAAACACTATAATCTGAAAATATCAGAAACTAAGAATCGATTTCTTTCTCTTTCAAAATCTTTCAGAATTTTGGAATTTCGAAATTTCAAAAACTTCAGAAATTCAAATAATTTGGAACTTTGAAATATCGGGATTTCAGAATCTCAGATTCTAAGAATCTTAGAACTTCATATTTTAATATTTTCAGAATCTCAAACTTTCGGAATCTCAGAATCTGAATATATCTGAATTTAAGAATTTCAGGCTTTTCTGAAATTTCAGGATTTCGGGATTTCAGGGTTTCGATATTCGAGAATATTTGAAGCTCGGAATGGTAGAATCTTAAAATTTCGGAATTTCAGAATATCAGAATTTCGGAATCTTAGAATTTCAGAATTTCAGATATTCAATATTTCAGAAATTCTGAATTTCAGAATTTCAGAAAAATTCAGGATTTGGGGATTTCAAAAAATTCAGAAACTCGAAACTTTGGAACTTCAGAATTTCTCGAATTTCATATTTTTTTTTTGCAAAATCTGATTGCAAAATCTTAGAATCTCAAAAATATAAGAAATTCTGAATTTCAGAATATAAGAATCTAAATATGTTTAAATTTCAGAATTGTCGGATTTCAGAATTTTAGAATTTCAGCATCTAATAATGTCAGAATTTCAAAATTACAAAATTTAACATTCTAAGGACCTGAGAATCTAATAGTAAAAAGTTCCCAGAAACTTCTAGAAGCAAACACGTGCAAAAACTAAACGTCCATTTGTTCCTTCGCCCATTACTTTATACACCCTCGCATTCTGCGTGAATATGCAAATGAGGCGAGCGGAACGTCTGTCTACGTGACTTTTTGTCTTCCGGGCAACGTTTATGTATCCTCTGTGTATAATAATAATACAAACATAAATACATATAATAAATATGTCATTCTGTCTAATTGGTCAGTGATCTGACTTAAAGAAAATGTACTCCGATGTACTTTTCAATTTTCTGGGACGTAAAGTGAATGCGCTCGAACGCAAAAATTCTCAATGCCGCAGTTATTATCGATTAAAAAACTTGCACCTTTTTACTGGCTCTTTTTTTTCACTAGAAATTTTAATTCGCAGAAATTAATCTCGTTTGATACGGTACCGGATTTCGGGGCGGAGCTTCGACAGGAACGCGGTCCGTGAAATTTAAAGATACAAGCTTAAATTGAACTACTGAACCACTACTCAGCGGTGCCCATCAAAAGCGGAGCGAAAACAATTTTAAATGACGTTCTGGAAAATTCGCGGTTTTTTTGTCGCAAAATTTGCAAGTTTTTCACTTTTCAAAACGTTTTTTTGAAACACAAGCGTCTTAGGCTACTCAGCTAACGACCGCGACGCTGACACGCGACGCGTCCAAACTTAGGTCGGCGCTCAATTTCAAATTGTAAGAATCTCAGCATATCAGCTGAGTTTCCTACCGGCAAGGGGTTGCAACAGGGTACATGCATTCAAATTATTCTCAATGCTCTTGGGCGCGTTGCGGCCGAAAATTGGCTTGGAATTTGGAATATTCAATTCAAAAAATGATGATTTGGCACGGTGCGACCTTGAACTCGAGGTGTGCGACAAAGCGCCTTTTCCGGAGGTTACCGGGGGCAACTCCGTGTACCGAGTAGCCCCGGTCTTTTCTAACTGCTCCAAATGCGCTCAAAAGCGAATAAAATGTAATTATTAAAGACAACGGTATTGTCGGAATTATAAAACTGTCAGCTGCGTGTTTGCAGACTAAGTGCAAAACACCCTATTGTCGAATTTTAAAAAGTGGGACCTGAAAATTTGAAAGGCGTAGCTTTTTTTGATCTACGAAAAAGTGCGGAAAAACGTAATATTTCAGATTTTCGCCTCGTTCAAGCTACTTTCGCAATTAAGTTCAGAAATAAGTTTAGTTTACTACCGTAGTGTTTCTGGGGCAAGGACTCGAAAATTGGCTCCGCGACGTTTCGAAAGACGACGTTTCGAAAGTGTGACGTTTCGCTTTTTTTTGGAAGCCGGCCGCGAAATTTTTCAGGTCCCACTTTTTTTAATTCGACAATAATTTTTGTACGGATTCTGCCAACCCGAACTGACACTTTTTTTATTTTAACAATAGAAACAAGCGTTTTTTTTTTCGAAAGCTTCATGCTTGTTTGCTGGTGTGGCCGAAGGTCCTACAGCGACAACTGCAGTAATTAACCTAAACATTTTTATTTTCCGGATTTATTTTTTCGATTTTCACTGATTGTTCTGTTATTTTTTCGCAGGAAGATGGAAAAAATTACAATTGGCTGAAAACGCACAAAATCCGGAAAAAAATATATCAATAATTTAAGCGAAGAAAAAATACCAGACAAAACATATAAAAAAGGCACTAAATACTCAAGAATAAACAAGAATTAGAGGTCATATTCGGACTCCAATTGATAGGTGATGCCGAACGATGCCAAGTAGTCGTAGATTTTCGAGTCACCGAAGGCGGCGGCAGTGGTGTAGACTCCTCCTCTGGAAAATTAAAAATTGAAATTTTTGAATTTTGGGCCAAATTCAAAATTTTGCATCTTAAAATATGTATTTTTGTGTATAAAAATTTTATCTTTTTTTCGAAAAAATTCGATACGTGATTTTGTAGTGTTGTTGCTGACATTTTTAGGTTAGTTTAACGTGATGGCTTCAATTTTGCAAGTTGTGTTTTCTAGGCCACCACCTTGAAATGATCTCGAATTGACCTGATATTTAACCTGGTGTGTTTTCTAGGCCATTTTAACGTGATGATTTCGAAAACTTAACTTGCAAAACTTAGGCCACCACGTTAGAATGACCTAGAACTAGTCTGATATTCACCTGGTAGATTTTAAGGCGATTTCAACGTGGTGGCCTAAGTTTTGCAAGTTGAGTTTTTCAGGCCATCACGTTAAAATGACCTAGAATTGGTCTGACATTCATTTTGTGGGTTTTCTAGGTCATTCCCACATTATGGCCTAGAAAACTCTACTTGCAAAAGTTAGGCCACCACGTGCACACGGATCTAGAACACTCACTCTTTTGGCAGGTTGTCCTTATCTCTGATCAGCGCCAATGCAGCCGACAAAACGCATCCACTGGTGGCAATATATCCAGCATCTGGTCCCTTACACGTGGCTACCACCTTTCGATTCGGTTTTCCCTGATGCTGTTGGTCCATCGGGAGCGTCTCCTTGTATCCATAACCAAAGAACCAGTACACAAACGATGCCTCCTTCATTTGCTCAGTCGTGGGCCCGGAGTTCTTGAACATGTAGAAACTGCACTGATCGGGGTACTGTTGAAGGATGCGGCGAGTGAATGGGTACTTGAGAAGATCGAAAGGAACATGATCCACAGACCAATGAGGTATCCGTAGAATTGGGATGAGAGTCGGATGTAGGTCTCCATGTGAATTGGGCGTGTGTGACGAACGGTTGCATCGTAGTATTGCGAGCGATTAATGATAGACTTGTCGGCTCCTGGGAATGGGACAGCTACACCATTCAGCTCCTTTTCTGCAAAAAACAATAAATGAAGTGTTTAGTTTTGGAAAAGTCCTCAAAACCTAAAAATGGTCTAGCATGCATTTCGTAGTGGTGGCCTAGAAAACCCAACTTGAAAAAGTTAGGCCACCATGCTAAAATGACCTGTAAATGGCCTAGCATGTCACTGGTGTTTTCTATGTCATTTTAACGTGATGACCTAACTTTCGCAAATTGAGTTTTCTAGGCCGCCACCTAGAAATCACCTAGAACCATACTTGTAAAATTCCGGGTCGGCCCGCCAAAGCCCGGGCCGGGCCTGAGGAAATTTTCAAGGCCCGGGCCCGGCCCGGAAGGCCCGGTAGCAAAAATTTTCATTTTGAGCTCTCAATAAAATTTTTTCCATTATTTTTTGTGTTTTTGGATTGTTTGTCTGTTTGATCAAAAAATATCAACACAACTCGAAAAAAATTTTTGATCGAAAAAAATCACATAAGGTCGGAAATTGGCGACTGCCGACCGACCGTCTAGTGAGAATATCTCACCTTTGATCTCCCAGAGCGTCGGCCGCTTTGGCACTTTCACCTCTCCTCTGACAATTTTCTCAGGCATAATTTGCTTTCTAACAGCACCCAATTTATCTGTAGCCGCTCCATTTAGGCCCAAAATCAACGTCTGGTAGGTTCCAGCGTTGAACGAGTAGCCAGATGGTCCTGTGAGCAATTGAACGAAGGATTCCACGTGGTTCAGGTCCCCGTTGAAATTCTTTTTCAAGAAATTCACACCCAAATCAGCTGGAATCGAGTCCCAACCGCATGCGGAAACCACGTAGACACCCTGCTTCTTCGCCTCCTCCGCATACTTTTGCTGCATTTTCTCAATCCACGCTGGCTCTCCAGAAATATCCACGTGGCTGGCGCCATTCTCAACAGCGGCTTTCACCACGCCTTCTCCGTAGAGACGATACTGAAACTAGAGAATTGTCCAGAGAAGAGAATTCAGGATTTTTTTACCGGTCCAACTGCATTGATGACCACTTTTGCTTGTCGTGCCATTTCGTTCAACGAACGTTCGTCGGAAGAATCGGCGATGAGCACAGCAGCTCCGGAGACATCTTTTCCTGAAGGGGGAAAAATTAAAAAATCGATAATTGCTTTTGCAGATTACCTGTTTTCTGGCTAACGTTTCTCAAAACTTCTCGAAGCTTCTTCTCGCTTCTTCCGGCTACAGCGAACGATAATCCTTCGAATTGCTCAGAATTCACCAGATATTCGACAACATAGGCTCCAGTGAAGCCCGATGCTCCGTAGACAACAACGTCGTAACGGCTCATACTGCAGAATTTTTTTTGATTTTTGAAAAAAATTGCAAGAGAAATTTTTTCGAAGAACGAAAAAAAGAGAGCGAAATGACAAGAAAAAACTGACAGTTTTTATCAGCAAGGTGTTGACATAGTATCGCTTATCAGTTATCGAAGAACACCTCATTTTTACAATAAATGGTGCGATTTCATGTGAAAATCAGTTTTGGGTGAACTGTGGTCGAACATTGATCGCCAAAAGAACTGCCAAAAAAATTTAATCTTAAACTTAGGCTTTTAGGCGCATGGTGGTGATTTTTTCACGAGAAAAGTCGTTTAAAACCCTTGAATTTTATTTTCAGCCGTTTCGTCTATTTTTTTATTCGAAAAATCATGCGAACTCTTTGAAAAATATCGATAAAATTGAAATTTTATCCTTAAAAAAATATAAAAAATTCGCGGAAATTTTCCGCTAAACAACGCGCGGAAGCGTTATTTCGGAGCATCGTTCGAGATTAAAAAACCGAATTTCGCAGACTTTTAGATTTTTCAAAAGAATTCAGGGATTTTCACAGCGAGACAAGTGAAATAACACTGCGAAAATCATCAAATGACCTGAATAAAGTAACCTTGAATGTTCGAAAACAAGAAAAGAGGCGGATAATGTTTGTTTGGAGAGGGAAAATGCGAAGAAAAATAAATATCGAGGAGAAAATTGGCTACAATATAGATAGGAAAAAGACATTGCACTTTGTACATTTTGGCAATTTTCGAGAGAACCCAGAAAAAAAAAGAAAAAAACAACCAGTTGTTGACAAGAAGATAGGAAATGAACGACTTTGGTTTTTGAATCATTGAGGTAGTAGAGGAAAAGAAAACTAAAAATTCCAGATTATTGTAGATTTAAAGTTCGAATTTTCTGAAACAAAAACATCGAGAATGCTGAAAAATGTCAAAAAGTTCTAGAAAAAAAGCTATTACTCGATTCTAGATGAGCTAATTTAGAAAAACCAGAAAATCTTTTTGAACAACATTTCTTTGTCAGGAATTCAAAAATTCAGAAATTCAGTAACTCAGAAAATCAGAAATTTGAAAAATGTGGAAATTACAAAAACCAGTTTATTGCGGTCTACATCCAATATCAGAAGTAAAATACGGGTCCGTGGAAAAATAAAAGGTAATAGGTGAGGTCTTAACCATCTCAACATGTGTAGCGTTCACATGCACACACATTACATTCGGCAATTTCGGAAATTCGCACACTTGAGGACCAGGACAACGAATTTTGCCGACATTTCCGTGCTTTAAGAGATGGTAGTAATTGTCATTTAGGCATTTGGACAGATTATTTGTGAAGTGATATCGTTCTGGAAGTTCTGGAAGAAGACCACGGACTCCATGTTGATCGATCATTGTTAAAAAATCTTTCTCAATTTTTATCACGTCTTCTGCAGAAATCAGAGGGTCGTTGGAGTTTAGATACATCGCTTGTTGTTGATATTTGTGATAACTTCTCTGAAAAAATTTTTAAAGTTTTGATTTTTTTGAAAACGTCCAGAATTTTTGAATTTCCTTAAATTCAGAATCACAAAATATCTCAGAACTCGAAAATTTGAGTATTTCAAAATATGAAAATTTGGCTCCGGAACATTTCGCGATTGGTCGTTTCGCCGCTGCGATATTTCGCCACTGCGACATTTCGCCACCGTGATAATACAAACGAATGGATAGGTTGCAGACTACAAAAACAATTTTAGGGTTTTCAAATATGCTTTTTCTGATAGAACACATTTTGAAATTTGAAAAAATCCAAAATTTATTTTTTTTCAAATTTTTTCTGGATTTTTCAAGATTTTAAAATCTACTTCTTACTAAGCAAACTTTTCTGTCTGTCTGTGTGTGTGTCTGTCTCGGACATTTACTTGAATAACTCAAAGGGGCATGGAACTTCTATAGTGATGTGTGGTACGTAGTCATGGACTACCGAGCGCTTCATGTCTATGGTGTCCTGGGCCTCCTAGCTAATAGGGAACCTAAAGGGCTGAGAATCGAAAATTTCAAAATTATGCTAAAACTTCATGGTATTCTGAAAAACGTTTTTTGGGCATTTTCATGTGCGTTCTACAAACAATTGAGCTCAAATCTCCAAAAGTAGAACTTTTTGAAATTTCAGTTTTTTCTCGAATCTCTTCAGTTTCGGTCATATGGCCTACTGCGAATGCGTGTTTTAGTGTCATTTGGTTTACAGGCATTATTTTCAAATACTCCTGAAACTTTCTGATTCCATATTCATGAACATTTTCCTTGGAAAATCGTTTTTTCATCAAAAATCAACATAATTATTTTCCAAACAGCATTTTTTTTGAGTTTTAGTTTTCTGAAACCACCGAATTTCGAAATTTCATATCGTCTGAGTTTTGTTTGATTTTCAAATTAATAGAATTTCCGAGAGTTTTCTGAATTTCAAAAAGTCGAAATTTAAAGATTTCGAAATGAAATTTAATAATTTTGATTAGATTTTTAATCTCCGGTTTAGGATTTCTTGAGTTTCAGAATGTTCTTGATGTTTGTTTTTTTTTGAGAATGTTCTTGAATGTTTCTTGAGTTTCAGAATGAATGTTGAGTTTCAGAACTTTCAAAAAAATCTTCAACTTCTCCACTCCAAGTTTTTTATTCAGAATTATGGATCTAAATGTCCGAGTTTGGACTTTCTCAATTTTTCAACTCCCGAATTTCCTGAAACGGAAAATAGGAATTTCGGAATTCTAAAACTTCAAAATCAGAATTTAGGACATCGGGAAATTAGCAACCTCAAACTTGAGAATTTGAAAATTTAGAATTTCAGAAATTCAGAAAAACTCTAAAATTTGTATCCGAAACACTTCTGAATTTCAAAATCAAAGTTTTCGAATTTTCTGAGTTTTTCAATAAAGAACCTGTGAAACCTTGAATGAAAAAAAAATGGAGGTTTAGCCCCGAAGGGGCGTTAACCGACTGGTGTATTCTATCAGAAAAAGCATACTTGTAAACCCTAAAATTGTTTTCGTAGTCTGCAACCTATCTATTCGCCTGTATTATTACGGTGGTGAAACGTCCGGTCGCGAAATGTCCCGGAGACCAAAATTTCATCAAAAAAATTGGACATTTGGGGTTAGAATAAATTTTCTTTTTTTTTGGTTAGTTTTGTAGACAATTTCAAGAGGATCATTTTTGGCTCCCAATGGAATATCTAACTTTGTTGAATTGTTACAAAATTTGTCAAATACAATTATGAACTACTTTTTCAGGACTTCAAACTGACTAGACTGAAAAAGTGAAAACATGGTTTTTTTCTGGTACTGTATTTCAAAACAAATGAAACATATCCTACCCATTTTACATCGTCCAAATGAGTAATTGTGTTCTCTGTCACTTTATAGTAATCGCTTCCAATGGAATATGAATTCGGATAGATCCATGTGTAGTTTACATAACGAGTATCCGCAATCACTCGACTGATTGTTGGTTTCTAGAAATTTTGTTAAAGGGGGCCAGACAGCAAAACTTTCGGGGAAAATTTCAGGGAACGTGTGATTTGCCGTCGCGGTGTTCGCACCTAAAGCACGCAATCCGACGCGCAAACTTTTTTTAATTTTTTTATTTTTCGACTTCATTTTTCCGAATTTTAAACGACTTTACAACTTAAAAAACGGTTTTTTGTAATTTATTGTAAAAATCATATAAATATAATTTTTTTTTCGTGAATTTCCGGTTCAGTCGAATGATTATTTTGTCAGTGGCCGATATTTTTTCTAAAAATATGCAAAAAAATAATTTTGTCTCTTAATGCCGTTTCGCCTTTCTTTCAACTGGTATTTTTTCGTCTCATTATTACTCCGAAAATGAAAACAATACAGTATGCTTCATGAATGAGGTTTTCAGCAACGCCTTCACATCTTCTGCTCATTTCGCCTTGCGACGACAAACTCAGAAGGAAACAAATTATAATTTTACGATTTTTTGAATTGTTTGTGTTCTTACTAAAAATTTAATGTTGTTTTTTGCATAATTTATTTTTGTTGACATAATAAACTGCATATATTATTATCAACAGTGTTTCTTATCTCGTATTACTCTTGTCCGAAATCAATGCACGTTGCGGCCGAGAAAAAAACGGTGGGTGGAGCTTAGCTCCCACGGAGAGAACCTTACTATATTTTTTAAATTATTGCACGCGCCTTTAATACAGTACCTCAACATTTATCGAATTTTCTCAAATTACTCTCATTTTTTCGCTTGTTTCTGTCTAATTTTGTGTAATTCCTATAAAACTTTAATTTATTTTTCTTATAAAATAGAAAAAAACGGCCAAATATGGCCCAAAATAAAAAACATCCGAGGTACGGTATTTAAAGGCGCATGCATCAATTTGTTTTTTCGCTGTGCGACCGACGATGCGATTTTGAGTAAATTTTCGGCCGCAGCGTGCATTGATTTCGGACGAGAGTAATAGCTAGGCTTTGACGGCACGCTGACGTTCCGAAAATTCCCATTCCAAAAATTTTGAGCTCCAAAAGTTGAATCCAAAAGAGACAAGCTAAGAAAAAAGCATACATGTGGATGGCCGGGCCGGGCCGGGCCGGCCCGCTTGTCTCAAAACTTTCGGCCCGGCCTGCTCGGCCCGCCTAGGACAACTTTTCGAAAATTTTATTTTTCGAATGTGCCAAAATATTTATAATGGCACAAATATAAATCCAAATGCATACAACCATCCGAATTAATTGAATTTTTAGTAAAAAAAAATTAAACTTCATTAAGCCAAGGATGAAACTTTTTTTCTAATTACGACTTCAAAACAGTTTTCATCGACAGTATCGGCCTCTAGTGTGGATTTTCATTCACTAAGAAGAAAAACCATCTTGAAAAATGATGATTCGCTCTAAAATATCAAAATTTTCAAAAAGCGGGCCGGCCATGTGTAATTTTTTCCGGCCCGGCCCGGCCCGCTTTCAGAAAAATCTCAGCCCGGCCGGCCATCTTTTCCACAAGTATGGAAAAAAGGGGAACCATTAGCGGGGATTGAACCTCCACCTTCTGAATGCTAACCTAGAGCGTACCCACTACGCCACGCGTGTGAGAGGCGACGACCGAGTTGATTTGTCTTATGAAGCGACGCCGCTGCAGCAAACGAGTGAGGGAATTTTAGTTCACCTTATAACGTAAAAGACAGTCTGTGTGTGCTGCCGCTTGATTTTGAAATTCTATTCCTACAAAAGGGTCAACGACTTGGGATGGGACATAGGGGAAATTCACTCTGTTCCAAGGTTGAATTCTCATGTATCCCTAAAAAGAGAAAAATATGTTTTTTTTAAGATTCAAAAAGGGACACACCGCTGCTTCATATCTCTGCATAAGTTTGAAAATCGATGTTATGCAGCTGATGAGATAGATGTGCATAAACGCTCCAAATCTATTATATAATAAGTTACATTTTGAAATTTTTCAAGAAATAAAAACTCACTTTTTATAAATATGAACTGCGAGCAGAAAATTTTGCCATTGTTCATAGACGTATATCGGTGAGAAGCAAGTTACAACATCGTGCTTGCCATAGGATGGGATAGAGAATGGGACCTGGAAACGTTGAGCCAATATATATAGGGTGCGGCAAAAGTCTTTGTGCATAAAGAAGTCGTTGTAACGTTCTTCTAAGTAATCGAAAAATTTTGAAACTTTGCAGATTGATTGTTCTATTGCTGAAACTTAAGAATCACTCTGATTTTTAGCATTATCATTTTTAGCTTTCCCGCTAGGATCGAAAAAGTGGTTGACGCTCGAGGCACAAAGCTTTTTCCAAGTTTACTATTGTCTATCTCTCTTACTGGTTATGGCGGGATTGTGAAACGTTGATTTTTAGAGACTGTGAGTTCTGTTTACATTGATCATAAAACATGAAGCTGTATTATTGGATAATCTATATCAGGAGGCGTTCAAACTAATATAGGTAGTTTGAAAAATCTGTTGTTTGGACAAAAAACTGTCGAAAGGAATTCGAGAGGAGTTGTCATAGAATTAGAAAAACTATATTTTACAATAGGGTAAAAAAGCTGGTCAGGATGATATATTGCTTTGCCTATGTATCTCATTCCCAAAAGAAAAAGTGAAGTTTTTCGAACTTTTGAATGGTCAGAGGAAAAATCATGATTGAATAGTAGGAACTGATTGGAGTTGAAGAAGTAACATGTTTTTCAATAACTACAGTTTATTTTCATTATTTTAACATAGTGTGAACACTCCTACTAGTCTCTGTTCGGCCATAACCCATGCTGGAAAAAAATTAAAAGAAGTTGCGTGCCAACATTTCCTTGAAAAGTGATTTCATTCGTTTGAAATTTATGATGGTTTAGCTAATGTTGTATAACCGTGTTGTGAATTAGGGTATCGAATGAAAATTTTAATGATATATTGGTTCATCACCCAGAGCGATATTTAAAGCGAAAACTTAATTTTCACCACTTTTGAAAAACCGATTGCTGCTCAGTGCAAGAAAATTCTTCACGAAAACTGTTTTGTTTTTCAGAAACCTTTTTTGCAGTATACAATAAAAATATTTTCAAATTTTCATTTCAGTTCACTCACAGCCTACTCTCAAAGAGAAAAACCCGTCTAAAGGAAACTTTAAATTCTGAGGTTATGAATTCAAACAGTTGTAACTTTTCAATGGGTAATGTTATTTTTTTTGAAATTTGGTAGATATATTCGAAATGTCTTTGAATATCATCTGCAAGTTGTTTGGGCACTGTATGACGAATATCTGTACGGCCCATTTTTGCGCCAATGTTATGCACAAAGACTTTTGCCGCACCCTGTATATCTTCCTGCAGAAGATATTAATACGCGATCAACTGATAAAATGCTTATATTCATATCCAAAATATTTTTTTAGTTGACCTCTTTTTGATATCTTTCACGGGAGCCGAGATAAATGGGCTCAAAGCTTTTCTCTCTCTCTCTCTCTCTCTCTCTCTCTCTCTCTCTCTCCTTACCTCCGTAGACCCATCATCGGAAACCAATCGTGCCAATTTCAGCTTTGGCATCAAACCAACGGATGCAAATACTGTAATCATTTCACAGAAGTCATGTGGGGTGACTCTGAAAATTAGATTTCAAAAAATCTTAAAAGCTTCCATTTAACCTCATTTGGTATGCATCGTGTACAACACTAGATGTCACATTATTTCCGTAAATTGCTATTTTGAGATCATTGATTTGTTTTCCAGCTTGCACATCAATACCATCGGATTTTCCCAAATTAATACTCATCACAAGTGCCAGCGCGTTGTTTCCAAGACTGAAAATTATCATATTTTTAGCTGAAAATGGCAAACTTTGAAGTCCTGAAAAACAGTTTAGAACATTTCGATTCATCTGAAAATTTCAGAGTTTATTACACAAAAACAGAGCTTTAATTTTGAAGTTGACAATTTGTTTGTAGAAATCCATACACATGAGATAACCGGCTTGAAACAGACCAAGTGCTTAACAAGTTTCGAGTTTTGACAAGCAAATTATCTGATTTCTATGAAATTCTACCAGCAACTTGTAGGTTACAAAACTAAAGCTCCGTTTTTGTGAAATAGACTTTGAAGTTTTTAGACAAATCGGAAATTTCGCTACCATATTTTTTTGACAGTTTGAATTGGACATTTTCAGTTAAAATTGGTAAAAGTAAGCCCACATATCTCGTCTCCTTTGAAAGATATCAACACATTTTTAAATGATAACTTATTTATCATAATATAAGAAGATGAAATTTTCAAAATTTTTAACATTAGTTCGAATAGAGGCCAGCCTACAAACTTTTCTGTTGGTTCGCAGAAATATAAGAACCATAGTTATTTCGGGATTTATGTGTGAGAATTATACTTCACAAACATTTTTTCACCATTTTCACCATGAAAAAAGTCAAATTGGTATTTTTTAAGTTTTTTCATCAGAAATTCAGGTCAACAAAACAGATAAAATTTATTGAGAAGAAAGTAAAAAAAAAAACAACAACAAAATAATAACGTGAGATATATTTCCGTGAACCTACAGAAGCGATCCCGAGATCGCTTCTGGGAGTTTTGAGAGAAGAAGCCTGAAAAATAAATATATTAATATTTCCCGTGAACATACAGAAGCGATCTCGAGATCGCTTCTGGGATTTTGTGAGAGCGAAAAAACATCCAGAATCAATGTTTTCATGGATTTCGTAAGTTCACGTAAGTCTGCCAATTTTCGAAAAATCGTGAAATTTTGAAATCCACAAATTTTTCATTCTGAAAATGGGCATCCTTACTAGTAAGAGTATCGTGTTTTGTGATTCAATGTGAATTTTTGAAAAAGGCAAGAAACATTTCTAGCTGCATTGT